CGAGGGTCCCGCCCGGGGGCACTTGCGCTGCCCCGCACTCCCCACGCCCCGGACTCCGGGTCGCGCCGGGTGCCGGCCTCGGGAACGGGTCCCGCTGGCCGCGCCCTGGCGGCGCCGGGGACGGCGTCGGGGCTGGTCGGAAAGCCTGGTACAGGGCGCCAAAGTTTTCCTCCCCAGAACTCTGTTTACTGGGGTCACATTAGGTCCAGAAATCTCTGAATAGGGGAATGAGCGTCTTTCCTTAGTGTTTTGTTTTCTCTTGTGTTTTCGTTACTGGCAGCGTTAGTATAGTTCATTCCTTGTAGGATAGATGGGGCGGTTCACAGATTATTCTCCGTGCTTTCCGTTCATGGGCCTTTTTTGTTTAAGAGAAAGGAATTTGGCAAAATACAGAATGCACAGAATTTGTTAACCTACATGAGGGCAGTGAATGCAAAACAACCAAAACTCCTTAAGCTTGGAGCCTTTTACCTGCTAAGAAAAGGACAATAGAAAAAAGACGGGGGATGCATGTGGAGAATCCCTGGAAATATTTAAAATAAACCCCACTGAATAAAATAGAAGATGAGTCATTTGTATAAAGCAGAATCATTTTTGTAATCCTGAAATTGTTTCCATTTTAGTTAAAATATGGCTGTCAGTTCCTGGTTTCTATTTTCGCATATTTGAATATTCATAACTTGGAATTAGCATTTGCATCACATCATTTTTAGAAAAATGTAAATGTTGCAAAACCCAAAGCTTGTAGTTTTAGAAAAATCTCAATTACTGGATTTTTATGCATTTCTAATTATTCTTGGGTGTATTCATAAGGAAGGCTCTTTCCTCGTCGATATCCTATTGAATTATAGTGGCAAAATACATGAGTGAAAATATTTGGTGACAACTATATCTTGTCTTAAAGGCATCTAAATGTAACATTAAACATTCGTCAGTATATAGATGTCCCTTTGATTACTGCAACTTTCACAATTAGCTGTTACTGTTTTGCATTATTTAAATACTTAACTGTTTTGGATCTTAAAAAAATGAGCCAGTCTCCAAAAGACGTGCCTCTCTAGAGGTCCATGCAGCCTTGAAAATAAGAGCTTATCACCAATCGTAGACTTTTTTGGTAAGACCTTTATCTTCAGAAGTGGTGAACATTGTTCTTCCTAAAAACAGTCTTTGTGATGGATAAATGATGTTTTATGAAACCCCAATGTATTTTAGGTAATTTGTGGTGACTCTTAAATGGTACTGCTGTATGCATCTCAGTGGATCTTTTTTAATCAATTTGTTTTAAATTATAAAGACATTGTCTCTTCTTACCCATGTCACAACCAGGAGAGACAAACCTGGTGGTGGGGTACTAGAGATAGAGGAACAAGTGGTTTTCCTTTTAGGGGAATGACTGTACCTTCTGACAGTCTGATTGGCCTTCCCTTTCTTGAGCTTGCTAACTCACTGGGGCTTTCAAAGAGAGTCTAAATATAATAGGTATGGTCTAACACAGTGTGAATAACCTTTATGAAATATGAGAGACAATATCTAAAACAAAAAATTAAGCTGCCACCTGAGGGTCATGTGAATTATTTTCTGGAATGCCTCTTTTCTTCAATATTGAGAGATAGCTAATGTATATCATTCAAATTGCTAATCTACCAGCATTTCAATTAATATAGAATACTGTTCAGTAGAAATTCGGTCTGCATTTTTCCTGTTAGAATCACATACAAACACATATTTTGGTTGATGATAGGCTATTTTATTTCGGGGACTAATAATTCTGATACATATTTTAGGGTTTCTTTAATACCACTGTAGATAATGTTTACATATGTGTCTCACTGGAAAATGAAAGATTATCAAAGTGTTCATTGGGTCGTTAGAGCCAAGGGTGAAACAGTCTTTGCTTATTAAAAAGAAAGTCTAATGCTGTCTTTTGCTTTTGGCATTTTGCCTTTGACTGACATCCTAGAAACCAACACATCAAATTTCCAATATTGAACATAGTGACCATAGTAATTTTTTTATGCATGAAGTCAAATCCTAAGAATCAGTGGTTTTAATGCTTTCCTATGGGCCACCTTTTGCTGTTATCCCCTTAACTTCCATCACAGGAAATATGACAGCTGCCCTACAGGCAGCTCTGAAAAATCCCCCGATCAACACGAAGAGTCAGGCGGTGAAGGTGAGTCACAAACTGTGACACAGTGATCTCTGCTGATATCGTGTCATTCTGACCAAAATCCTCTGAAGTTGCACAAAATCAACAAATGTTTTAACTATTTACTTTCTTTGACATGAAAGAGCTTATAATATAGTTTGACAGGTAAAAATTTCATATGAAAACAAAAATTTCACATGCAAAAATTAATGTAGAGTT